ATTCATATAAGTAGAAAAATACACATTATAAATATGATATCCCAAGAAATAATAAAATGCACAATATGAAAACAATAATAAGTATTTAACAGTATGACAAATAGCACGATGAATATAGTGCAGGTGCATCATATAAATCACAATGTACCACTCTCTCCTCATTACTAGATATACACATTAATAAAAACTATATAAAAACAGCTTAAATATACTGTAGATCTAATACCACTAGGAATCTTCCTTTCTGTTACGACATCTACCTCAACCAAAATGCCCAAGTTAGATGGAGACATTATTTACAGTCCAATTAGTTTCATTTAACGATGCTGTAAATACCACACTTGGGTTATTATGCACAGAATGACAATTTCAATGTTTATACATACATTTACAGTATATAATAATTATTGTCCTTATTGTTTGTTGGGTGAAGATCCATACTATGCACTTGTATGTGTGTATGCACACATGTATCAGTACACACCTGCAGAATACTGATACCAATTTATACTGCATTATACATGTGTATTAGTACTGGATATATATGTATCTGTACTGTATACACCTGCACTGCTATTGGATACAAATGTATCTCTATTGTAAACAGCTGCATTGCTACTGGATACAAATGTATCTGTACTGTAAACAGCTGTGCTAGTACAGTGGTACTGGATACAAATGTATCTGTATCGTATACACCTACTGTACGGTATACAAATGAAAATACACCTGTATTACTGAATACAAGTGTACTTGTACTGTATATATTAGTACTGGATAACTAAGGCGTGACTTTTTTTCATACCTTGTTAAGCAAACCCGCTGACTGCAAATATTAAATAAAATTTTATTTTTGGCCAATTATCGCACCCGCTGCCACAAAAAAATTGGACATTTTAGAAAAAAATAAAAGTTTTTCTTTATTTTTATATTAAGCCCTCCGCTGCCTTGAAATCTCCAAAGATAAGATATGTATATTTCTTCCTAATTAAATAAATTTGAAACATTTTACCATCCTATTTTACATTCACCAATAAAATTTTATTTTTATTTTCTCTTCTGTCTGGATGTTTTTTTGGCAAAACTATTTGCAAAATAAAAAGCAAAATTTTATTTTTATTGCGCCCTCTTCCAATGATCTTTAAAAAAAAATAAGTATGTGAAACAAGGAATAAAAATAGTCTTGTCTGATGTATACACCTGCAATAGTACTGGATACAAATGTATACTGTATACACCTATATTAGTACTGCATATACATGTATCTGTACTGTATACACCTGTATTAGTACTGGGTACAAATGTATCTGTACTGTATACACCTGTATTAGTACTGGGTACAAATGTATCTGCACTGTATACACCTGTATTAGTACTGGATACAAATGTATCTGCACTGTATACACCTGTATTAGTACTGGGTACAAATGTATCTGTACTGTATACACCTGTATTAGTACTGGGAACAAATGTATCTGTACTGTATAAATACTCATGTACTCTCAAGGTGTTTAACACATTGTCCAAACTTCCACTAACACAAATGTTAGCATCATAATTCAGATAAATTTATATTAAAAGACAAACTGTTTGTGGTGAAATATTGAAAACTTCAGAAATTGAAATACAACAAAATTAAATCGATCACACAAAAGCATAAAATAAGTTATTAAACAACAATACCTTTTCTAGCTACCTATTTACAAATGCCTTACAACAAAAAAAGTAATTACCAGTTTTAATAATTTTTTAAAGGGTATATTGCAAAAAAAATATAGGAAAGTTACTCTATTAGCTGGCAAGGATTGTTTTCTAATTTTAAAAAGCTTGCTTTCAACTTAAATATACAAAGTAAAGAACTTTATGATCTCACCCAAGACAGTATATATGCACCTTTAAATTTAGTTTTAACATACAGAAATATCAATACTATAATGAGTTCTAAACATGCACTGGACTACAACACACTATTCTAAGACAACATCAATATATATACTCGCTAACATTTTAAACATAAGTATAGATTTAAAATCATGAACATTCTCAAAATCCATGCACCAACTTTGCAATTAAGAAAATGTTCTCCATTATGTAATCCTAATAAACCAACAGCAAAATTGGCCATCTACCTGAAATATTGCCCAACCAATCAACTTTCGATGGAAGTATCTAGAGTTTACACCTACGATTCTTAATGTCAAAAACTATAGCACAGAAAAGGGTATCAGATTAAAGGGGATTAGCCTATTATAAATAACTGTGTTATTGTAAAGTACAACAGACTATTCAGTTAAACCCCGCACTTTATTGTTGCTAAGGTTCCACAAATCAACAACGCAAACGTACATATCATGTACATTTATAAGACAATAGGGAGGTTTCGCATGCAAATGCATACAGTTAGTTTGACGTATATGTCATCATTTATGACGTCATATGCCGGTTGCTATCCATTAACCGTGTGGACGACACGCATATCTACACGTACATGAAAAATACGTAGGGAAATTTAGGATTTCTAGTACAATCTTCGTTTTTTTTTTTCACATTTACAGTAAAGTTTAAAATATAAATATATCTTAATTAATACGTACGTGTCATTTTTGTGACTTTTGAAGACAGCAAGTTAAGACAGGATGCGTCTCATTTTGAGGTATTAAAAAACGTCGGTGCTTGGTGGTGTTTTCCTGTAGGCCTAGGCCTAGCTTATAGTAGCCAGGCATTTTTGGGTCACAAAATAACCAACTCATTTGGGCAACATAGAAAGGAGTGTTATTCGGCTACCACTTACAATTTCCAAAATTTTACATACTAAAACTTTAGGACATGCCAAAATCTGATTTTGAGAAGCATGATGAGAGAAGAAAAAGGAATAGCCTAGCTAGGCCCTAGGCTAGCCCCAAGGTCTGATGCTTAAATTTCGCTGTCATTGCAAAAAGCATAGCATGGCTACAAACCGTTATGGATAGCTAAATGTATGCGTATATAATGTATTCCTTCACGTGCGAAACCTCTCCAATATGTGTGTTTGTGGGATAAGAACATATCCATTGGCCTGGTCCTGATTGGTCATTTTATGAATATGACTGACACTCTGGTGAAGTTCACTGCAGCAAAAAATTGTTGCATACATGTCATGTCATATAATTTCACAGCCTATAATATGAATGATAGATTAGAATGTCTATATTTTCTAAAAAATACAGCTGATTCACAATAAAATATAAATTGGAATACAGTACTAGTAACAGTAAACATCACATTTTAGAGGTAGGCCTACTGAGCTTATTTACTTGCAACTAGTCACAGTAGCTCAAACTTCCTCAGGAGGGAACTTAGCAGCCTGGTATCGTACTGGTGGATTGTACAACTTCCGCTTGTTGCGCACATAGCAAATTACAGCTACCACTAATAACACCATCAAGATTGCAACCACCACTGGTATGATGATGTTCCAATAATTTCTTTTTGCAAATGTTACATTAAGGATATTTGAGCGAGGACTTCGGTTGCCAGCAGCATCGACAGCTACTATAGCAACAGCTACGATTGAATCTTGTTCGATAGGTAACGGAACCTTGATAACAAGTTCTTCGAAGGTAAAGCCTTCTCCAGGTTGGTTAATGTCTGTGAAGGATTTTTCTGTGACAATATCATTTTTGGTGATTTGTTTTGCAGATTCAAAGTCATCAAGAAGCTGCTTAAAATCAAAGCTGACACGGATGTCATAGAAACTTGCTGTGTAAAAACAAAATGCAATTAAATTCAATTAAAGGTTATTTTCAGGTGTCTAGAAAACAAAAATTTCACGGGAGCATGCCCCCGGACCCCTTAGGGTAGTTTTGTCTCGATTATTTTTCTGCATTGCAAATTATTATTATAAATTATTTTTAAAAAATGAGTTATAATTAAACAAATTCTGAAAATTTATGTTCAATGCAAATGAAATACATTTATAATAAAACATTTAATAAAACATAATAATATTCTTTAAAAAAAAAAGAAAAAATAATTTTAGTTTTTTAATGCCATGAACCTTAGAAAAATGGTGCATTAATAATAAACATAATATTATTGCTTCATGATCTAAGGTACTATCAAAGGCTAATCAAATATTTTTGTTTTACAATATTGAGCTTTCTACTAGATGTACAAGATAGTATAAATAAAACACTGGCTTAGAAACCAGAGTGTGTGTAATACGTGGATATAATTAATATTAATATTTGGAAAATGTAAATATTATGTAGATTGGAATTTGAACTGATATTTATATATTATATGTATTTTAATGCACATTCAAAAAAATGAACAAATCATATAACAGCAATCAAGACAAGAAGTGAGTGAAAGCATTATATTACAAGAAAATATATTTAAAAACAGGTTGAAAAACAAGATTAAGGTTTAATTAATACATGCTTACATAATTTGTTATCATAAAGTCCCGTGTAGTGAGAAACTTTACAAGGCGAGACTTTTCTTATACCCTGTTTTGTGAACTTGTATTTTTAAAGATTGTCAAAGGGTGGAAAAAAATAAAATAAAATTTTGTTTAGCAAATAGTTTTGCTAAAAATATCCAGACAGAGGAGAAAATAAAAATAAAATTTTATTGGTGAATGTAAATAATGTAGAAATGGGATGGTTAAATACTTTAAATTTATATAATTGGTAAGAATATATATAACTTATTTTTGGAGATTTCAAGTGTAATAAAAATTTCCCTTTATTTTGTGGCAGTGGGTGCGCCAGTTGGCCAAAAATTAATTTTTATTTTTTTAATTCAAAATCATCATTATTGGTTATACAAGGTATAAAAAAAAAGTCTTGTCTAACCTACAAAACATGTCACTATCTATAATCTTACCTTGACCATAGAAATAATTATCACCAGGTGAGAACCACTGAAGGGTTATCACTTTTTCACTAGGTGTTCCAACCGCACTTTTTACTTCCATAATTTGAAATTGACTTGGAGGGTGTATGTCTGCTGAGGACTTTTTAAAGTTCTTCACCCTAAATGAACCTACAATTATTGAAATTGTGAACGGGTCAAGGGCCGTATACGTCTCTCTAGTATCACGTTTTGCTCGTTTGGCTGAAATTTATTAAAATAGAAACAACACTTAATTTACATAAATAATTCAAAAGTCTATGTTTGGTAACTTTTTTCTGTTCTTGAACCATTTCAACTATGCTTATTAAGAGTTATAACTATAACTACAATAATAATTTTGATACTACAGTGGATCCTTGTGAATATATCCAGCCTGATATAATGATTTAAAAGAAAACCTAAGAAGAAATGGTCATATATTACCAATTGCATATGGAACAACATCACCAGATACACCAAAATCCTCTGTTAGATCTAACTTCACAGCCTCCCCTTCACTGTACACTTCAACTGACACAGTATACAAACCATCACCAGTAAAGTTATAATATACTCCTTTAAACTCTACATTAAACAATAGTAAAATATAAGATTTATTAGTAAAAAGAAATGAAACATTTATATAATGAACTTCTTACATGGTTAAGTGCCAGCAATTTTAATCTGTAAAATACTGTCGTAGTTAAGGTAGTCATATTGGTCTCTACAATATGAAAACTGGCTAAATGATATTACAACATTGCTGATTTTGTACCACCTGACGTTAGTTATTTTGCCCATTTCATTTCTAAACAAATGTGCCCACAGTTCTTCTTCTCTTCTTCCTGCAAACTTCATATTGAATACTCTTGCAAGTGCATTTACTGTACTAACATTGATCTGAGTAAATGGTCTGGAATTTGTCATATTTTAGGATCAAGAGTATATTTGGTGTGAATCACACCAAGAATAAGCCATTATGAAAACTTGTTTCCAGTCAAGTCCTTCTGGTGGTGAATTGGGCAGACAATCTCTACTCTTTCCCAAACAGTATACTGCGTTCTTTAGCGTATACATGGGCCATATTGTACATGGGACTAACGGCTTAAAACGTCTCAGCCAAAAGATGGTGTACTATCATAACTTATATTTAAGCCCTCTTGCTGAAATACAAGGAGAGAAGTGTGTGGAATTAAACAAGGGACCAAGAGATCTGAAGGTTACATCCTCAGTTCTGCACACAGGCAGTGGCTACCACCAGTTTGGCCTACTGAGCTAAACTGGTCTCATGATGATGCCAGTAACCGTAATACTATACCGTAACAATTCATCAAGCATGCAGGTAAACATTCTATGGCACAAACATTAGCACAAATTTCCCACAAGTCAAAAATACAAGAGTTCACTTACCCACTTCTAAATCCATCATGGCAAGTTTATTAGGCGGAGCGTCTGGGGGATCTACTGTCACTGATACGCTTGCACCAATTAAAAATGAATACTCATCAGCAACTGTGACAGACAGACTCTGCATCTGCACCTCGGAATAGTCAACCTCTTCATACAATAGCTGACCATTTACTACAATCTGGTCAAACACACCTGACTTCACCTTGGATATTACATTCGTTCTGACAATAATTGAATCATCAAAGCCTTCATACATAATATGGTAACTCCAATTTCCAATCTGAAGACACATAAAAAGATACCAAGAATATGCAATCTGTCAATTTTGCATGTGATAAAAATATAAGTGAATTAACTTACAATTAATTTTGGCCTAAAAGGCCAAAAAAATATAATGTGTTGCCCTCTACGACCTTTGCAAACTATTTTTTGAAATAATTTTTGCAAATGGTTTACCTTTGATTCATATTACTAATTTGAGATATATCACTTCCAAAAATAACTTTTAAAACATAGAATCCTAACACAAATATGTATTATATAATTTATATGTATGTATATATTTAGTTGTGCAACAGATTGTTGTTAGCATATTTCTGTAATTATAGGCTTATATTGAAAAAATGTATTTATTTATTGTGAGAAAATATGAAACAGAATTTTGAATTAAATAATTGAATATTATATTTAGTATGGCTTTATAGTAACAATTCCAAATACTTACAGTATTCATTTTAAAAAGACATCACCCACCCCCCCCCACCCTCCTTCTTTAGTTTGCAAAAGTAATCTCGAAGAGAAGCCTATACAAGGATCTTAAAGAAAGAGCTTCTATTCAAGGTTTCATGGTATGTATGGCCTACACATACAGTATACAAGTATTCATCCCACCTAGATAAATTGTTTATATCACAGACATACTGTACTACTCTACTTATTCATATTACAAAAGCAGGAAATTTGTATTCTGTCTTTTATAGAATGAATATTAACATCAGCCCTTAATACATTTGTGTATGCCTGTAGCTTCTGGTACTTCATCCAAATGGCACTAAAATACAATTATTTGCTATTTAATTTTTAAATTGAATTAATTTAACCTGCTTAAGAACATGCCGTATTTATCAATCGCATATCACATATCAGATGTACAACAAATAGGTATAAAAACAGTCCGATTCCATATTTTGTAAACCTGCTTAATTCTGAACAATAAGTCACAATTGATTCCCTCAGTTTCAGGAGCAGTTTGAGTTTTTTTGCTTTGTTTTTTGCTTAAATCTGGATTAAATTGATGAAAGATTAATAAGATAAGTTTAAATATTATTTTGAACATTTACAGACCTGCCAACTCACCCGATCCTGTCAGGTGTCACCCGATATTTAAACAAATCTCCAGTTCTCCCTATCGAATGCAATTTTCACTCAATTTCACAGGCCACCCCCTCTCAAAAATACTCTGATTTATGCATAATTTGATTGATATGATCGTTATTATTCAATGTATTCCCCACCTGCTCGCTTCACGGTGCAATAAACAAGCAGCCATTTTCAATTCGAATGTCGCCACCAACGGCCAATTATTTGTAGTGACGTGACTTTCTTGGTATCTTGCATCATCTTTTGGTTTTCTGGAAACCTCCAGATTTTTTTTTAAGATTCTTAAAAAAATCTCCAGATTTTCATGACCCAAGGGTTGGCAGGTCTGCATTTAGTGCAAATCTGTTTGTCCTTGATATGTCATTTCAATTTTGTGCTCTTTTTTTTTTGCTTGTTTACTTTGTTCTGATTCTCATGTTTTGTGATTTTGCTGCCTTTGTATTTTTGATGTAAAATGTTTTGAATGTGAGATTTTTGCTGTGTCTCATCTTGTTTCTTTCTTGATGTTTGTTGGATGTTCCCCTTTGTATGTTATATTTTTGCTTGTATCCTGTACTACAATTTTGCTTTGCTACAAAGTACATGATGGCTTTTACACTTATTTAGTAACCTAGTAATAAAAGATAATTGCAATATAATGTATAAATAATGATAGCAATAATGATGATGATAATAATAATGATAGTAATAGTAATAATAATAATAATAATAACAATAATAATAATAATAATAATAATAATAATAATAATAATAATAATAATAGCAGTTTAAATAATAATAATAATAGCAGCGAGTATTCATTGATGGAGAGACGTCGGGTTGGCTTCCAGTCCAATCTGGCGTCCCCAAAAGTTCCATTTTAGGACCTCTTCTTTTAAATTTGTATGTGAATGACATCCCGCTTTTATTTGAACATTCAAAATGTCTTATGTTTTCAGATGTTGTAAAACAATTAAATGTCTTGAGGACGCCAAAAAGCTTCAGGGAGACCTAAATAAACTCTGCTCTTGGTCTAAGTTATGGGGTATGGTACTCAATCCACTTAAGTGTAATACCTTAACTATTACTTTAAAGAAAAATAAAATCGATTATTAATATTTAGTTGACAACAAACTGATTAATAAGGTGCTGCAACATCGTGATCTTGGAGTTATTTTAGATAGCTTCCTTACTTTTTCTTTTCATATAGACAATCTTCTTAGGAAATGCAATATGTTGCTTGGATTGATGTGGCGCAACTGTAAATATCTGGACCCACATTCTAAAGCATACCTGTACATTACACTTATTCAACGTAAATTAGATTTTTGTTCCATCATTTATAATTCTATCTCAAAAACTCAGGCTTCACGTATTGAATGCCTTCATTCCCAGTTTTTGCGCTACATCAGTCACAATCAGACTAATATTAATTTTAAGTTTTCAATTAAATCACCCCAGTCCCGTAGAAATTTTAATGACCTTAAAATGTTTGACCTCTATCTTTGATTGTGAATTAGTATCTAATTTTGCCCTTCGTGTTCCTTTCCGTATTTTAAGAAATAATGATGTTCTTTACGTTCCTTCAAGTGGAGTCAATGTTTTAAAAAAAGGGGTTTATTAGTAGATTAAGTTCCTCGTATTTATTTATTTATTTATTCTGCCTTTAGCGTGATAACACTTTCAGTGACGCAGCACTGATCTCACTAGTGGATCACATGAACAAAAAAAGTAGAACAAAAACAAACATAAAAAAATATACAGAAACTTAACTAAAAAAAAAAGAACCAATTCAAATGAATTAAAAAGAAGTCAAGAGAACAGAGGGTGGGGTCAGAAAGATATAATTAGTTTTCTGTTTTGATCAAAGTTTTGAAATTTTTAAGTTGGAGATCGTTCTATTCTATTTTAATTTGGTTTGGAAGTTCGTTCCAAGCCTTAGTTGCACGGTATAAGAATGTTCTCTTTCCTTGAGTGAGTTTCCATTTTATCTCCATCAAGGTGTTGTTAGATTTATTCCTAGTGCACTGAGAGTGGCTATTTTGATTAAAAATGAATTTGTTACATAGGTAGGATGGGGCTATTCCTTTCAGGCACTTAAAAGTGAGTAATAATAGGTGTTCCTATTTAACCTATTCCATCCTAAATCATCCACTAAATCCTTGATGGGTGTTTTAATGTCGACTGAAAGAATAATTCTTCCTAACCTTTTCTGGAGAATTTGGAGCTCATTAAAAGATTAGTTGTAGTGTTTAGACCAAATGCTGCAATAATCAAATAAAGGCATTACAAGTGCATTTGCTAACATTTTAGTTGTTTTGAAAGGTAGGAACTGTTTGACACGGCGAATGACACCAATTCTTTTAGAAACTTTTGAAGAAATATTTTCGATATGTGTAGCCCAAGTTAAATTGGAATCAAAGTACACGCCAAGATATTTAAAACAATCTACTTTTTCAATGTTAATATTCCCATAGATAAGAGAAATATTAGAAAATTTAGGAAGCACATGGGGTGTTCCAAATATCATAAATTTAATTTTTTGTATATTTAAAGTCAATTTATTTCTATTGAACCACTGACTAATATAATTAAGGTTTGCTTGAAGTTCATTTTGAAGTTCAGTGGGATTAGAGGAGCTGCAGAGAATTGTTGTGTCATCTGTGTACATTACGCATTTACCTTTAATTATATCAGGGAGGGAGTTCACATAGATATTGAAAAGTAAAGGCCCTAGTATTGAACCCTGGGGTATTCCAATATAAATGTCCATAGCATCTGAGCGTGTTGAGTTGATTTGGACTATTTGTGATCTACAAGATAAATAGGATTTAAACCAATTTAAAGACATAGAATCAAGACCAAATTGGTGCAACTTGTTAATGAGTAGTTGGTGATTCACCGTGTCAAAAGCCTTTTTTAAGTCAACAAATATAGCAGCAGTCACTCTACCTTCATTAATATTATCTAAAATGTAATCGGAAACATCAATAAGTGTTGTAGCAGTAGAATGGTTTTTACGAAAACCTGATTGAGCATTGTTTAAAAAGTTATTAGTCGTATTTAGATAACCATACAACTGTTCATGAACAGCTCTTTAACAAGTTAGTTCAGGACTATCCGTCTTTAGATTTATTTAACTCCAATCTGCACCTTTTGCGTCGTAGCGTTTTAGGCGTGTTTAGTTAAAATTAATTTTGTTTGTGTCTCTGTTTCCGTCGTCTCATCCTTTGTTAACCATACTGTAAGTGGCAGATTTGTGTCCGGTGTTGTTTTGGTGAATAAATAAATAAAAATAAAATAAATAAATTAAATAAAATAATAATAAATAAATAATAATAATAAAAATTAACAATAACAATAATAATAATAATAATAATAATAATGTATAATCTCAAATCAATATTTAGGTCTACTGTACATGCATTTCTTTTTAAATGCCTTAAACCTTATCATGAATTGTATATTTTTATATTTCTCGACTGTTTTGAATGTATTTTTACCTCGCTGTTGTTTGAAAAAAAAAATGATGATTGATTATTTTAATTGTAATTTTGATTGTTTTTATAGGTGATTGTGGATACTTTCCCTCGATGATAGCATTAAATAATTGAATCTTAAATCTATGCTCTTGGTTATAATCCCACTGGGTAAGGAACGAAACAAACATAATTGGCCTCCATTTGAATATAATCCAACATATAAGACTGAATTTTGCTTAATACAGCATTACATGGTATGGCGCCTAATTACCTGAGATGAAGTATTCCCAAATCCTGGCTTTAACACAGTAATTACATTTTATGAAATGGGTTTAAACTATTAACGATCTCTAGAGCAAATACGAATCTCATTTGTATGTAGTGCTAGTTAATTATAGAACAATCTGCCTCCTGAAATTAGAGTGAATCAAAGCCTGGTTATAACATAAACACATAACTATGCACTACTTTAACATTGTAAATATGAGCAGCTCTGGTGAAACCTGCAGTTTGACACAATTTCTAATATCGCACAATCACCCAAAACATTTGAGAATCAAAACGTTAACATTTTCAGGTTTTTGCATTTTATAAAAGATATATTGAAGAATATTTCTGAAAATTATCTGGATATTTCTACGTACCTGGGCTGTTCCTAAGATTTTAATTGTGATAGTTGAAGTCTCAAAATCCTCGTAGTACTGTGCCTTGTCGTGTGTACTTATTTGTCTACCCATTGGATCATTCAAATATACCTGCGAGTTTTGTAGTTGAGTTTGATTTGCAAAGAACACAGTAAATGTAAGTTCTTTTCCAAGGTAGTATGCAACAAAGAAATAATCATTTACCATTCTTCTCGATTTTGATATATTATTACTTCTGCTAAGTATCTGAAAAGGAAGCAATTTTGAATAATAATAATAATAATAATAATAATAATAATAATAATAATAATAATAATAATAATAATAATAATAAAAATATGTTCCCAGCCCTAGCGTGTGTCTATGCCCTGTACTGCCTTACTGTGTTATGTTTACTAATAAAGTATCCACATGGGATTTGGTTATCAGGAAATGTGTGGTGCTGTAATTTTTTTATGACTTTTGTACAGTAATAAGGTACAATGACTCATCATGCACCTCCACCAGATTTACCCTTTGCGCCATCTTTAATTGACAGATCATAACATAGTGTCTTTGCCCTGAAGGGGCATAGACACAATAATAATCAAAATAATAATAATAATAATAATAATATTAATAATAATAATAATAATAATCTACTTTAGTGCACATATGGAGACTTCTATGCCACATTGTGTACTTTTGGTCATCCTGGGTTGGTAGCATTCTGTTTTTATTGTTCTGGTAATTTTGATGTATATATTTTTGTATGAATTTTAACCCAAAATAAATTTGAACTGAATTGAAAAATAATAATAATAATAACAATAGTTAAGTAATTCCATGGTAATAATAATAAAATTTCCCTAGACAATTTCCTCCGGAGTGTTCCCCAGGACAATTCTCCTGGACATCCTCCCCCCCACATCCTTATAAAGCACAAATTTAAACACAAGGAATACATCAAGATCTACAGTATATCATCTATTTTATTAAATCTTTATTAAATCAACTGCACAAGTAACAACAATATTTAAATGGTAATATTTAAGTAACAACAACATAAAAAAATATGAATTATATACATTAAGCCATTAAGATTACTTTATTTGCATTTGCTCATTTTTAGTTACTATTTATTTTTATTATCAAATTAATTATAATATAACACATAACAATATTGAAAACATATAATAGTTAAACAAATGTATTGCTTGATGTATTCCTTGTATTTAAATTTGGGTTTTATAAAGGGGGAAGAAATGTCCTGGGGGAAATTTTCCTGGGGGAAACAGTTCGGGGTAAATGTCATGGAGGTAAATGGGGGGAGGGGCAACCAGCCTGCTCTGGAAAAAAAAAAAAAACCAATAACAGCAGCAGCAGCAATAATAATGATAGCCAAGCGTTTACATGGTCCTTTTAGCAGCTTTGGTCTCTAATCAGAATACAAAGATAAAAGAGATTTGCTAATTTTCTGGACCACAGAAAGGTGGTCATTAATTGAAGGAGGTCCTTAACTGGAAGCATAGACTTAGCCAGCAAGCCGCCCGGCCGTCTTTTGGACAGCCACTTTTACCGTGACGGCTTGGACGGCTTGGTCCAGCGGAACGTTTTTCAAATAAATATTTTTTCAGTAAATAGGCCTGTTATATGTGTATATATACATAAAAAATATGTAGTTCCATACATATTCTTTTTTCCATTAATCGATAAACGCCGAAGAGAAGAAGGGGGAGTCCCCCGGGACAATTTTGATTCCAGATGGCGGAAAATTAGCTTTCTCGAGTTTTGAGCTAGGTGTATTTTAATAACTTAGTTCTTCAAAATTCAAGTTTCCCCCTCTTGAAAACGGTCAGGTGAACTTTCTCATTCTTATTACAGTAAATAAGACTGTTATATGTGTATATATACATAAAAAATATGTAGTTCCATACATATTCTTTTTTCCATTATTCGATAAACGCCGAAGAGAAGAAGTGGGGGGGTCCCCTGGGAAAATTTTGATTCCAGATGGCGGAAAATGAGCTTTCCCGACTTTTGAGGTGTCTTTAAATGACTTTTAAGTTTTTTTGAAATTGAAGGCTTTCCCCTCTAGAAAAGGATTCCATAAATGGTGGAGGTAGGATTCTCCCTGGGAAATGTTGATTTCTAAATGGTGGGAAATGAGCTTTCCTGACTTCTGAAGTGTCTTTTAATGACTTTCAAGTTCTTCGGAATTCAAGGTTTTCGCCTCTTGAAAACAGTCAGGTAAATTTTCCTCATTCTTATTAATACAGAAAATAGGTCTTATATGTGTATACATACATAAAAAGAAAAATCAGTAGTTGCATACGTATTCTTTTTTTGATGAATCGATAAGTCCCAACAAGAAAGGGGGTCACAGGGGTTCTCGCCTGGGAAATTTTTAATTATTTTTTTTTTTTTTATTTTTGAAAATTAATGTCTTCACTTTTAATTTCAGGGTTTAAATTTTAATTGGATGGATGGATGGCTTTATTCGGTGTAAACAGCAAAGATATCCTATGAAAGTCTGAAGAAGACATTTCCTGTGGGGTCCTTCTGGTTGTGATTGAGCAGTACACCGGGAGACAATACCCTAAATGGGCATGGTTGGGCATCTCTCGAAATCACTCGATAGTGTTTATCGAAAATGACAATTTAGTGGTTTCAACAGCTTATTTAATCAGTTTTGGGGGTTACTAATATGTAAAATATACACATACATTTTTTTAAAGTCTGAGAGTGCCATTTCCGGCCATCTAGGGGTGCTATAATCATACGTTTTCAGCCATGGGAGAGCTGAGGTGGCCTTCACTCCAACCTTATTCCCTGACCCGCCATTGCAATTGTTAAATTTTGTGTGCCACCAATTTTCTTGATTTAGTTCAGAACAGCTGCTAAGACCGAATAGGCCTATACCTTAAAATAGTTATGAGCGATTATCATTGGTATTTATTAGGCCTACCACTATAGCCTAGGCCTTTAGAAGTAGGGAGTAAAAGAAGCAATTTTGACTGAAATTTCTGACAACTTTGGAAATTTCCTGTATCACATCAAATGGCCTGGCAATCAATCTTGCACTGGGGCCCTTTCGCACCTAGCGACGCCGCTGAAGACCATGGCTTCAATTAAAAATCACATTTCTGCGACTGCCCCCATTGGCTATCTTTTATCATTAGCTGTTCCCTCCAATTAAAGATTCCCTCTATTTAGAAACCATGGGTTTGGTGGACCCAACTGATACTTTCCCCTCCATGTACAGACCACTATAAAATAAATAGTGATTTTAATGCAGTTTTTTTTTTCTACAATAAATTATGTTATATAAGACTTACACATAGCAATATTATCCAATGCACTGTTTGTGTAGTGTTTTGTATATTGAATGACGATAATTTGGAAATGTTAGTAATATTCTATGGGAAGACAAGTTGATGTCTGGCTACCAAGAAATGTTTATTTAAGAATAAATAAGAGCATGCAGTTACTGTACAACCATTTTAAAACATTTAATGTATTATTTTTCAATTTCCCTCTAAATCTAAAAGACAACATTTAGTTCCCATGAGTCCCAAGTCTCCTGTAGAGTCCCAGAATGGGGTCTCCTGGAAATTGACATGAAGAACGCATTCTGGTCCACAAGCAAGCACAAATCTTCTGAAATAAACCATCTCCCGCAATTTCATGATGATATTTGCATGTTACAAGTTTTATACTGTATTATCAATTGTCTCCCAGCAGTTACTGTCAATCAAAATGATTATTACTGTACAATGCACAGAAAAATATATTTAGATGTCATAAGAAAACTCATTTAAACAGATCTCTCGGATGTGGATTTTTTCCAAATCCAGGGGGGGGGGGTTCCATTTCGCGAATTAGGGTTCGTTATCCGACGTTTTTGTTCTACTTGTTTGCGTCGGTTTATCTGTAATTTATCGACAAGTCTCTTTACTATGTTTTGTCATAAGTTTCATTCATTATTATGAATATGAATTAATTTTAATACTATATCCTGTCATTTGTTATTGAGCTATTCTGTAAAATTAAAAACCGAAATGTCGAATACCAAGACTCAAAACCCACTGAAATTTCCTATACACTTTTATACTGTATTATAATCAGGCCAAACTCATGTTTTTGCCGTGAATATTGACGGGATAAACGCAATTTAATGCCAGTATATTGCTTTTTCTAGAACTATTCATAGGAACATTCCCACGCTCTGCTGCTATGGAAATACATACTGAATCAAAGTGTACGTGTCATTGATTTTGCTGCCGGCCGAGTTATGCATAGCTCAAACCCTTTGTACGCCGCCCAGTGTTATAACCAGGCCAAACTCATGTTGTTGCCATGAGCATGGAGGAATACATTCGTAGTGACAGGATAAACGCAATTTAATGCCAGTACCTGCTTCTTCTAGAACTATTTATAGGAACAGTCCCACGGTTCTGCTGCTATGGATTGATCTTGCTGCGGACCGAGTTATGCATAGCCGTACCCTTTGTACGGCGCCCATTGATAAGGACTCGACCATACGATGGACAAGCATAGAATAAACTAAGAAAATATCAGTCTCTGAATTTTTGTGTGCAATTAAATCTCATTTTCAATTATATTTTATATTTGTTATATATATTAGAAAATGGATTTGGTACTATACAAATAAATTAATTACAATAAAGACAACAAGGAAGTGACAAACAGAAATTAAAAATCAAACAAGCACAACTCATTCAGTAGAACATAAATTAAAGTTAATTAGCGTAAACAGTTTATTACAGGAACATAGGCTTAATTAGTGATCAAGATCTACTGTGTGTGTGTACAACAGTCGCTTGTATATGCTTGTATGATAATCTGATCTAAACACAATACTGTTATTTAGTGGTTTTTTTGTTTTGTTTTGTTTTGTTTTGTTTTGTTTTTTTTTTCATTTTAGAAGCTGAACAACAATAATTTAGGCCAAAAAATGGCTACCGTATCCGAAAACGCCATTTCTCTACACCCAGGCCCAATGTCTGTTTCAAAATGACCTACAGAGAATGAATGAAAATAAATGGGAAAAAAATAATGCCACCCTAGCTTAGCCTACTGCACTAAATTCTGATATTCATCGTATATGTTTTTATTGGCGGTCACTGTACTTTATTATGAATAGGACTACAAATAGTAGGCCTATTGTACACTTATTTTTGATATAGGCCTACCATAATATATTTTAAATGCAAGGTTATTCCCAACTATTATATCAGAACAAATTATAGACAATAAATCAATGAATAGAAAAAGCAATTTAAAAGATAAAAAAATGATAATATGTTAAGAGATCGTAATTCAGTAAATATCCCATAGCCCATTAAGTACAGGACCGGAGTCAAGCGTCTAACTTTTACTTTGATAGAACATAGAGTATGTCAAAACTACAGGCCCTACACCTCCAGCCGGCGATGCAGTACACTGCAAGGAAGACGTTCCAAGTCCACTTGATACGCCGTGGCGTATCAACAATTGAAAACTACTTTTATACATTACCAGTGCGTTTTATAAATGAAATTAAAATCCCTTTAGTAAAATAACATAGTCAATTGGTACATTCAAGCGTTTAAAAACGATTTAATGATTATACATTTTAAATTTAATTATCTTGTAAAATTATTATAAAATTAATAACCCATATGGAATGGTAGAGTCCATGGTTAATCAACGACGCAACAAAACATGTGCTTCGCTGTTTGAAAAGGGGTGAAAGCAATACATTGAACAGCAATCTAGAGAAAACAATATTTTATAGTATACAATACAATACTTTTTTAAAGAGCCTGATAATCATAATAAATATATTCTTTTACACTAAACTTCGAGATTAATCAACATTGAAATAGAATAGCGTCTAGGTTTGTGCCGCATTAAAACATGTGTTTCATATCGGTAGAAAGGGGTGAGAGCAGTGCATGTAACTGCTAGGTGGAGAAAATTGTTTTTGCTTTTTTTGAAACGTTTCTCGTCACATACAGTACAATGGATATACTGTTCCCCAAAGTTCCAGGTTAATCAATATTACAATAGATAACATATAGGCCTAGGACAGTTACTGCTCACATTTATATCAGATAAAGGTACTAATATGAAGTTCAATATTTTTTTTTTTGTATTTCGCTAACACTGAAGGAAGTGTACCCTATCTACGTTCATGATCGAATGTAGATCGAATGTAGGCCTACTGTAGACCGATATCTGGCTGTCGTCCTAGACAGTTTTATTTAATAATTTTAATTAATACTAAAACGATATAAGAAATGATAATTTTAAAGACTAACTGTAAAAAAGATATAATTAGGCCTAACAAAAATTCATAAAAATTGCCTGTTTTCGATTTTTAATTTTACTCCGTAATTTTTCTAAGTAAGCCAAAGCCTAGGCCTATCCATGGAGGTATAATATCTATGTCCTAGGCCTCTCCTAGATTTACATTTCTGCTATCTGTTGGTTTTGATCGTAACGTAACCATAATCTCGATAAATTATTAATGTAATTCTCAGAAACTTAACGTGTGCTTGCGTTACTTCCAATAGGGTTTATTTTTATACGAGACGTTTTTGTTTGTGTTAATTGGGTTTTTACACTAAGCCTGTTATCAATTCCCCACTACAAAGTGGAGTAGCCCAGGAAAATAATCCCAACGCGTGGCCAACTATGGGATTAAACTGCCTTTAACCGCATCGCGTGGTCCACTCGTATACGCGTTGCTTTATTTTGCGAGGCTCCCTTAAACTAAAGCTAAATCATATTTAAGTTTGCTAAAAACAACATTTATTGATTGAATGGACGTTGTTTTCGTACCAATATTCAGTGGGGATTCCTAAAGATGGGCGTGGCACTTAGCCGATGGGCGGGCCTCCATTTTTGATGGCCTTTTTTGTTTTTCTGGCTAAACCCCTGATTGGAAGGGTCTTTAATTAGAGGGAGACCTGTATTTATTGAAATTTTCAGGAAATCTGAGTGTTTCACCAAGGATTTTGTTTTGGAAATCGGTTATTTTGCATGGGATGTACCAGATTCTACTTGTTCATATATTGAAGCACTGTTCTATTCTATATTTGTTTATGTGTAAATGACAAGTTTATTACAAGGATTCAATATACCTGCTTTGGTATGTCTTTATGTATATCAGCTCTCTCCATTAATATAGATATCAAGGAATCTTCAAGAGCACAAGACTGCTGATATCCAGAGAACCCAAACCACACACCTTGAACCATATCCACAAGATCAATAAGTTCAGCATCTACCACATCAAGGGTACTACCATAGAGAATTGCATCCACTGTCACTCCGGAGTTCAGAAGGTTGTCTTTCATGGCAGACAAGTCAGATGTTGACTCACTTAAACCACCACTGATCACCATGATGGAAGAGCCTTTTACATCAGATGGCGATGCTGAAAGGATCTGACAATCATAGCCAAAAAAAAAAAAATGTTTTTTTCTTCAAATTTTCTACTTGCATTGGGATTTAATGATTTGAGAATGTCAGTCTCACAAACAGCCTATACAAATTACAGGACTGCAAGTATAAAATATATACAAAGAACACGTTTGTAGTAAGATGGTCAACTAAAAAAACATGTATCAAAATATCCAAAAACAATGATACCAAATTTGAGTATGTGACTACTTTGGTGATTATCTCAATATTAAATTATTGAAAACTAAGTAAGCAATTAATCACTTTCTACAATTTCTTCATCTTTATACATGGGACAAAATGGAAGGAGGGATTTATATCAATTCAAGCTGATGGTTCGTGACACATTAAATCATCAGCTACCTTTATACAAGAGATAGTCTTAGCAATATGATATATGGTGAATACATAGTGTTCACTATGGGGAAACATAGTGTTTATTATTAATTTATATATCATTGATAAAACACCATGAAAAGATGAAATCATATTTGTCATCATCCCTACATTTCAGTTCTTGTGGGGAAAAAGCTATAAACCTAAAATATAGACGATGTACAGTATATCCTCTTCCTGATCAACTGTTTATTTAATAGTAACAAATCTCACCTCTAAAGCCTTGCTGAGGCCTGCTGTAAGATTTGCTTTGCCTTCTCCAGTGGTAGGCAGTGTTCTTGCCATATTTTGACGAATTTCCTTACTAGAAAGAAGTACAATGTTGTTGGAAACTTTTACAGTCTTGCCAAATGTTACTATACCCAGTTGAATAGCACTCTCAACTATATGCTCTATGAAGTAGGATACAGCTTGTCGAACCCTAAAGAAATAATCTCCCTATAAAAAAAAATCAAATTGACTGTTATAGAAAATAGTAACATAATGATTATTCAGGTGAAAAAGAATAATGTTAAAAGTAGCCAATGGCTAATGACTACATTACGGAGAAAAGACTTACCAAAAAATATGTTTTTTATTAAGACAGATCATTTTTAAATAAGTCGATTACTATTATTATTAATGAAACATCAGGAAACATACATAAATGGGTTGAAAATTAATTAAGCGACAAACGTCACAATAAAAATAATTCTAATTTGAATGGCTGTAGAATTGTGCCATGATTTGCGGTTTGAAGCTATACTATACACTGATCCATGTAAAATGTACAGTGATTACAGTTTGCTCACTCTTCAGACGCCATAGCTGGGGCTTCCAGCAGGGATCGGATGCCATACCTGGGGCTTCTAGCAGGGGACTTTCATGCATCATTTGCTACAAATGTAAATATTGGAATTACAATATGCACAGTATTTTGTTGTTATTAAAATCTACTAAATACTTCACATCCTGACATGGACAAGAGGAATCTGGGCAAACCCCCAGTACAGCAATGACAGGGCCATTAGAAAGCTCCTTCCCTTAACTGGATTTGTGTATAGAATCAGGCAAACAGCTATTGACAATAGAGGATATGGGAGAACACTTAGGTTGGTTTGGAAGTTAATACACGGGAGCTGTTCGTACAGCAATTGTCATTAAGCTCTCAACTGTGAGTTTAGGAAATTTAACTTCTTTTGTGACTATCCTATAATAATTCGCTAAAGAAATGTTCAACACATTATAATAAATTATTATCCTGAGACCAATTAATGACATGTACAGTACTTACAGTATGTACATTACCAATGCTATGGTCCATTGTGTTCCATAAGAAGTTGTTCAAGAACAGAAACTTAAACAGGAAACACATGATTTGTGGTATACAGCTATAATGAACCCTTTGGGAATTTACTTTAAGAGCAAAAAAGATGCAAAACTACAAATCTATGAAGATGAGATTCATTTTAATTGTGAAATCACACTGTAAATTGCTTTGATGACCTCTATATACCCCTTAAGTAGAGCCTTCTTAATGACTAACAAAACAGAATACGAGAATATGCAACTAGTTATCACAGGCAGGCCCCCGAGAATTGATCAATTTCTGTACTTAATGGTAATTTACGTGTCATTAAGCAATACTTTCAACCCAAATGGCACCGGACATATTTTTACTTATGCTTCTTCTTGTCAAAATTTGATATAATTAGATATTGGGGAAGAATCCGCAATTTTACAAGCGAGTCGAAAGTCTGGATTTATGAACGTTCTAAATCTAAACCTACATTCTATCTATCAAACCGAAACCGCTTTAGTGTACTCAACAATGAAATTCTACTTTTAACTTTTAAGATGTACGAGAGAACAATAACAGTGAAAAAGGAAACAAAACAATAGGCAAAATAAAGGTAATCGACACAGAAGAGGGGGTAAGAAAAAGAAAAGGCAATACAATGTGTCCAATTCCATAAATAATTAGATACTTTTAATAATGTTAATAGAATATGACCTAGATTATATGAAATATTTGATAACAAAATTGATATGTTTGGAGTTTCTGAAACTTTTTTAAAGAATGAATCAGGAAATAATATTAACAAATATAATTGGGTTGGCAAAAACAGAATAGAAAAGGAGGGGATAGAATAGGCATTTTGATTTTGGAAAGAATAAATTTAATCTCTGATAACTACATTAAAATTCAGTGAATGACAATTATAAACGGCTATAGTTTAAAATTAGTACATATAATGATAAGCATTTATATGTAGCCGTAGCTTATTTTCCAGTAGAAAGGAGTTAATCCAGATTTAACCAATGAATTGTACAATCAGTTACTATCAGAAATAATAAGAAAAGAGAATAATGAAGATAACCCAAGTATACAAATTATGGGTGATTATAATGCAAGAATTGGCAACATAATACCTAATGGTGACCACAAGTACTATTAATTAAAATGGGGAAACACTTTTAGATTTTCAAAATGATGCAAATCTAACTATTATAAATTGCACAAATTTTTGTGAGGGAAAAATAACTTGGTGTAGAGAAAATCAACAGAGTACAATAGATTATTTTTTCTGCTCTAAATCTGTGTTAATTACATTCAAACACTCATCATTGATGAACATTAGCCTGGTTCACGTCGAACTTTATCTAGATATACCCGTCTTGAAACATGATACGATAATCCCCTAATTGCGTTCGATGCCAAGTTAGAGCCAGATAAACAGCCAGCCAGTTTCAGGCCGTCGACGTCACACGGTGGAAAGGTTTGTTTACGGGGCCCCGTATTGTTTAATAAAACATCTACTGTATTTTACGAACCTAGTACCAAAAAAAAATTGTAAACTACAGTAGAGAAAGTGTGAGTTTCCACTACCTAACCTAGCCGACCAGTACGAACCAACGACAGTGCAGCAGTATCGCAATCTAAGTACTGTAGTAGATTCTCTAGGCCCTAGCTAAATTTACCTTCGATAAAAAACGAATTATTTTAATCGCTAGCTAGCTTTCTTCCATTTAACAAAATATTGTTTTAATTTTCATTAAAACGTTTGTATACTTGGACCTTTCTGTCCTCTTTTGTAGTGTTTAGATCGCTCAAATTTGTTGTTTACATGCGTTTCGCGAAAATCTAACTTCGCGGTGTCAAATAAGTTGCTGACTTCCACACACTTTCTTTATTTCGTCATCGTAAACATTTGCGCTCATTTTACGACTGGCGTTGGTGGTAGTTCGTTGAAACTGAATTAATAGCGACTATTATTGCAGAAATGGAAAAGATTGAATTGTCAATAAATAAATACAACAAATCTGATTTTATTATTAAGAAAAATATACATTATCACTTGTGTACGCAATCGGACTTTTTAACGTTATTACTTGGTCGATGATGCAAAGGGCAAAGGTCATTGGTAATATAGACTATTCGTAAAATAAAAATGGACGTTTGCTTGGTTTTTACCCATAATATTACAAATAATTTCTGAAAACCAGACTAATGAGACTAGTTCGATGCTGTTGTTAGCATTGTTGGAGTACGTTGTTGCCAGCCAGAAGATGATATGGTGGTACAATACAACAACGCAGGCTTAGATGCCTACGGTAATCGTGTCCTTGTAATCCGAGCCAACTTTACCGTTAAGCAAGTTAATTTACCGTTATTCTAGTAAAGTTAAGTCACTTGACTTAAGCCTTTTATCTAGCTATAATTGAGTGGTTCACGTCGAACTTTTAACTAGTTAAGTGGATGTATATCTAGATAAAAGTTCGACGTGAACCAGGCTAAAGAAAATTTGGATTAGGAAGTGACCATAACCTTCTATGGTTGACCATGGACCTACTAATAAGTCTGGACTTATCAATAGGTCCATGCTTATATCAAGTCTGTTATTGACAATTTTGATAATTTCAATAGGGTATTTTGGTGATATCCTTTGGAGGACTATTTCCCCTCCCTTCAATTAATTATGGATCAGATGTATGGTGTACCATAATTAAATGAGATATAGATAAAATAGAAAAACTTCAATTACAGATGGCTAGATATATTCTAAAGGCCTCTATAAGTACACCACGATCTGGAATTTATGGGGAACTTGGCTGAATACCAATTCAAAACATGCATGATATTTATCGGGTTAAATATTTTTGTCGCTTAATTAAAATGGAATCATATCGTTGGCCAAAAACACTTCTCAATGTAACTGAACTTTTTGATTGTGATCCTAAAAATTTTCTTTTCAAATTTATTAAATGTATTTATGATATTTTTACAAAATATGAATCTGAAGACCTTCTAGAATACCTGCCTAACAATTGTGACAATACATATTCGGTTAATCCTTTAATTGATAAAATAAAAGAAACATTTAATAATGAATGGAAAGAGAATGTTGCTAGTAAGAGATCTCGCACAGACTTTGTTTATTTAAGGACACAATAAATATTTAAAAATATTTATTAGATAAATTAGATTTTGAGGGAGTATCCCTAAAATTTAAACTTTGCTCGAACACGTTGCCTTTGGATAACAGAGTATCTAGATGGTCTGAAGACAATGATGGTTTTTGTACACTTTGTAACATTAATCAAGAGGAAATTTTAAGACATTTTCTGTTAATAGTTGTCCTGCTCTTTCAAACATAAGATTAGAAGAGTTGGACAACATTGAACATTCAATAATGAATTACAATATTATCTGGACTGAATTCTCAAACTTGACTCTCGACAATAAACTGCCAATCGGGGTTTAGACCATTGCATTCAACTGAAACAACATTGCATGACTTAATGAATGAATGTCTTCATGCTATGGAGGGTGGTGAAATGACTGGTACTGTTTTCATTGATCTCAGTAAAACAATTGACTCTGTAAACCATACAATTCTCCTAGATAAACTTAGGCATATGCATATGTCTGCTTCTGTCATTATGTGGTTTACATCTTACCAAGCGATCAAAGTCAATCTGTTAATATTGGTGGGAAATTATCAAAACCTTTGCCATTAAACACTGGCGTACCACAGGGATCGATTTTGGGACCACTGTTATTTATTATTTATTCCAGTGATCTGTCACCTTGTATCCCTCTAAACTGTAAATTATTTATGTATGCTGATGATTCAACGTTAACCTGTTGCTCCTCCAGTGTTAAGGATATTGAAAATAATTTAAATTTCGCACTGGACATAGTTAACAATTGGGCCATTAGAAACAAACTTACAATTAACTCAAACAAGACTAAATCCATGCTCGTTGGATCCAAAAAGAAAATTTCCAATGTAGACTTCAATGTAACCATTGCCCATATTGTAATTATTAGAACGAAATCATGTAAGTGTCTTGGTGTCATCATTGACGAAACTTTGAGTTTGACACCACATGTTGAATTCGTCAAGAAAACTGTTTCATCCAAACTGGGTATGTTAAGTAGAATAGGTAATTGTGTCCCCCAAAGAAGCCTGAACACTCTGTTCATAAGCTTAGTTAATAGGCCATCTTTAGACTATTGCTGCACTGTATGGGGAGGTCGTTACATATCCCACAATGCCTTACTTAACAAATGAGCTGCTAGGATAGTTTTAAAATGTATTTTTCTTACCCCATCTGCAGATATGTTTGCACAACTCAGTTGGATTTCGTTTTCCGAAAGGGTTACGTATGAAAAAGCTATACTTGTTTATAAGTGCATTAACCGATTAACAACTTAATATATGACAAACCTTTTCACACCGTATTTGCAAGCTCGTGAAACGAGACAGTCAACTATTATGAAGTTGAAGGTTCCTTTTTCGAAAAGCAAAAATTATTCCACGAGTTTTAAGGTGACCGGGGCGAATATATGGAATGACTTAGATATTGATTTGAGAACTGCGACTTCTCTAAACATATTTAAATACAAATTGTACGAGGCACCAATTAAGAAAATATAATCGGTTACGACCATGTGCTTTAAATGCAGGGACCCAATGAAAATCAGTGTTTTAACTGTTTGGGCTACCCTGGGTAAATAAATGTAAATAAATAAATAAATAAATAAATTATGTTTTAGGGTCAACAGCTATTCCATAGTCTGATGACCTCATGGTAACCTCACAATCGGAGAGATTTCTCCACTGGTACTGTCAATGTTCCTGAGGTATGGACCCACACTGAACTTATGTTAACCAAAAAAGCATTCACTGTTCTGAAATACAGCCAGAGGACCATGACGAATGCCGGATAGATTAAAAGTTTTAGAATAATAAATAAACTGTAAATACCTCATTCATTCTTTCACTGGCCTCAATCAAAATTACCATCCTTGTTGGTATCCTCTGAACGAACTTAAATGTTGGTTTAGTGTCTACATGCATCTCTATAGGTGGGTTTTTTCCTCCAGCAAAATCATCCGTGTTTAACATTACTTCCCAGGTAGATTTATAGTTACACAGCTCATTGTGTGGGTTTGGGGATTCGTAGTTGTGTAATCCAGGTTTTGTAACATCATTATGGCAAAACTGAGTCACCTAAAAAAAAAAAAAATTTAAAACAAAATTTGTAAAAATGAAATTGCATCATCAACACAATTCCTATTTTTTATATTCTTTGGAGCAGTGTTTTACACTCAGGTTCAGGTTCAGCTTGTGGTTGGGTGAATGAACCACACGCTGAACATTCAAGGTCGGTCATGCATAGATAGATGGTAGCCACTGTGACTGTACAGATCTCTTGGTCCAGGTTCAATTCCCAATGCTGTTGACTTTGTGTTTCAGCTGGAGAACTGAAATACAAGTATAAAATAGCGTACCAACTTTCGGACGAAACGTTTAAGCATTTTATCAATTTTAAAAGTTTGTTTCAGCCTCTCTGATTATGAAAATGTCCAAAACTTTCAAGGCAAGCAAACCCAGAAGAAATCTCAAGCAAGCCAGTTGTGAGAACCTTGATAGGTCTGTAACACAAATATTTCAGTGTACAGTATTTTGAAATACAGGGGACAACTTTGGGACAAAAAAAACCCCAATAGGCCTAATTTGCAATGCAAAAAAGTTCCCAATAATTATTTCATGATGCAATGTTAATGACCAAATATATATATATTTTTAATATTGGATGAATCAAAATACAAAGTTGAATATTTGTTTCTTATTTGATACTTCTGTAGTTTTTGTGATACAACAAAACAAAAATAAGTGTTCCCTTAATGGGGGATTATTTGACCATTTGGCACACTCAGAAAGTGTCCCCATCCATTAATAGGGGTGTCCCCATAGCGGTTGTTAGATATATTTCCCCTCGTTTCATGGGAAAGTGTCCCCTTAATAGGCGTGTCCCCTAAATAGGGGTGTCCCATTCTACTGTACAAACATTATTCAACCATTTTTGATGTGTTGCTTGAACGGCCCTCTGACCAAGATTACACACTGAAGACGCATGCACAGCGAATTTATTAAACTCATCAATTCGTAAATCGAACTACAACAACCAAAAATTAATACAAATTAAAGAAATAGCCAACACTTTATCAGCCAGACTTTAAAGCGTTTATCTTAACACTTAAGACTTTCTTTCTGTATATTTTTTTTTGACATAAAAACATTCATTCACGACCCAAACTTGTGTCGCGACCCATGGGTTGCCAACCATAGTTTTAGAGCATGTACAGTATTATATTATTAATGAATTTTGAAAAAAAATATGACACACTTGAGGAAATCTTCAAATGTGAGAAATGCAGTTTTAGGTCAGTTTACTTATAAAACAATCAAACTATAAAAAATGAGGATACTTTACACTATATTGTAGTACGCACATACTTAATCCTAGATTTTACACAGAAAACCCTTTGATTTAATTTTATATCTCGACAAAGAACAGGATTGAAAACCACAGATAAATCATTTTCCTTACACAGTAACAGGAATTCTGACATCAAAAATATGACAGGCTGTAAAAAGATCAGTAGGCTTACATTACTAATCATTGTTAAGTTTAGACGAGATTTTATACCTTGCTTTCACGCGTTTTAACTACATACTAAAGTAGACCTAAATTAATAATAAAGAAAAAGAGGTAAATCTTGATTTTGTTTATGATACAGTATATATATGGGCTATCCTCTCATAATTGAGCAATAAAAAATGTTTATTAGTTTGTTTTTTTTTATTTTATCTATCTAACAATCCCACAGAAATGGCTTTCCCACTTACAGGCATTAAATTTATAAAACATAAAACTCCATTTAAGTTACAAATATCGATAATTTTAAATGAAATAAACAATTAAAAAAGCATCATTTTTCCTAAAACACCTTCTTCCAACTTGAACCACAAAAAAAACAAAAAAAAACACACACACAACAAAAATACCACATTAATAAGAAATAAAGGAATTCAAGCCATCATAAAGAAGATCAACATTTGACAAGAAAGTTATTACTGTATAAGTAATAGGACAGACGACGAAAATAAAACTGTTCTTAAAAACATTTGTGGAATTAGAATTAAATTAATGGAATAATGTAAATCTTTTACTTACTTTATGAGAGAAAAGTCTGGGACAACTTACTGGGGAGGGGAAGGGGAAGGGAAGGGAAAGAGGGAGAGAAAGGGAAAGAGAGAGGAATGGGGGTGAAAAGAGGGAGGAAAAGAAGAGGAAGAGGGGAAGGAAAAGGGGAGGGAAAGGGAAGAGTAAGGGGAGAGAGAGGTTTGTAGTGGAATAGTATGAGGACAAACAGCCTGAGGAATAAATTCCATAGCTTAATTCATTACTGCTCTGGGACCTGACAGTGTTATTTTTGTCATTAAGAAGAAGTAAGACTATTTTAAAAATCTTATCCTGTTGTTTCTAAATTGGTTTATTTTTTATAGATAATCCAATTTATAATAATTTCTATTCTTTTAGGACCTGACATTTATGTGTACCTGGTAAGATGTGAATGATTTACAGACAATAATGGGTAGTACTGAATTAGCAACAAAAGTACAACTACTCCCAAGGGATCAGAAGAAGTGGTACACTCTGCATGATGGATCAGAAGAAGTGGTACACTGTTCATGACCATAGATGGTATAATTGATTCAGTATCCAATGACATCGCTGAAACAGATTGCGCTACATAATTGCTATAATTATCGTATTATGATCGTTGGAAATGTAAACATGACTCTTAATGTTATTATTGACTTCGAACAGCCTGCATCACTCCTACATGTGCCTCTGACCCTCCCTGTACTGTGAAAATGTTGAAGTTACAAGAAAATCAGTGAATTCTTTTCATTTTTCCCCCTTTATTTATAGTGTTTAATTTTATAAGTGTTTTAATTCTATGTTTACCTGTAATATTGTTTCTAATTTCTACCTTCATGTCCCTGTTCGTAGACTTTGTTCTAAACCTATTTTAAATGTATGTGTGTTGCTTGTAAAAATGGTATATTTTGTAGACTGTCTTCGATTTATAACAATTGTGTTTGTGATAATCTTGAATTTGATATTTTTCATTGTAGTTCTCTTAAGTTTAATACTATTACATTCAAGTACATTTTAGATAATCTTTATTGTATTTTAAAATAATTTTGGCTTTTTACTAAACTGTATTGTGTAAGTTTTATACTGTATATTTTATATTTCCATCCTGTAATTGGTGTATACACTGTTGGATGTGCAATAATTAAATTAAAAAAAAAATTATTATAATATAATAATAATTTGCGATTTGTATGGTTCTGAAAAATGTGCAAAGTAACGCGACTTATTTGTAGTACCCACATCCTCATTAGTTACAGTAACCCATCAGAAAAGCAGAATAAACATTTTAACCTACCGACTTTATAATGTTGGGTTTATACATAATAGAAGCTAAAGCTTTGGATGAAGATAAATCATCATAGCTCAAGCAGTATCCATTAATGTCATTGAGGTTGTTAGCATTAACTTCATCCAAGTTGTAATCACACTTTGATTCGCCTGAAGCTATTGGTATAATTTTCACATCCATGGAGCAGCGAATACCTTCGATACGTTGCGTCTCTGTTGATGCATAGAAATGATTGTCGTCCTTAGGATACTCATCTGCTAAACCCCAACGCAGATGTCCCCACTCATGAACAAGAACACGCCCTGCAAAGAAAACAAAAATATTACATTGACAGTAAAGTAGTATGTACCATTTTTGTGGGAATGGAAAGTAAGCCAGTGAGAGCGATTAACTCGGCGTCGTTCGACACACATTGTAGCGATACAGTAAGCATGTACCTAGTCCAATAGCAAAGCCTGCGATGAAGTCTCTCCAATAGACGGCTGTTGTTCAACCCCAATCTATGCTAGAACAATCAAAACCTTTCAGTATATGTAAATGTACTATTTTTGTGTTAATTGTTAAATTTTAATGGTTGAATGGAACTAGTATATATTTTTTATGAATACTTTTGTAATTGAGTTTATTTTTTTTTTATGTTTTATTATCAATATTTGAACTATTCTTGTATAGTAATTGCTTATGTAATTGTAAATTAGATTTGTATATCAGTTTCAGATACATAATATGTACATACTTCATGAAATAAAATACACCCATCATTAGATTTTGTAACTGGTCTTGTTTCATTATTGCAATGCTTTTTTTAAAATATATTTGAATTTTATCAAGTATTGTGTGTGTATGTTTTTAATTTCTTTGTAAATTGGAATAAATTTCACATTTGGTTACATTTACCTATCCCAACATTTTCTATGCATATTTTGATGTTTTTTTTTAATGAATAAATAAGCTATAATTCCAGTTTAGCAAAGAGGATGTAGATATTAAGTGTATATAATCAATTTATCTCTAGACCTTACCAAGATTATTTATGACTATGCTCACTCTTAATGCAGTGTTTTAAACTTGGTAAAATCCGTTTCAGCAACTATATCTAAATATATATTTCAATAGTAAATGGAAAATATCCATGGTCATTAGCACCTAACGGTGCGTTCCAAATTAAATGTATAACTGCATAGAAATGTAAATAAAATCTGACAAGTTAAAGATTAATGGCAAGGGTTGGGTTTCATAATAATTTATCAGTTATCTCTCAACATTAGGTTGACCAGAAACAATCTAGAAAAAATGTGTAAGTTAAAACAATATGTATGACTATAAATTATTTAAAAAATAATTTAAAAAATACAAACCAGTTCCTAAATTGCCATACTGGGTATTAATGGTAGAGTTCTGAATGTAGTCGGCTGTGAGATGCATGTATAATCCCTTGGCGCCACATTTATCATTCATCAGCACATATGGGGTATGAGGCAACAAATCATTTGGCTTATCAATCCTAATATTGGCGCGTATAAATGATTCATGTGTGGCTGGCAAATAATTCCCCATTTTTTTCCAAGTTGTTGGAATCAAAAATGTAATTTCTTTCCAGTAAACTCGCTTTGAAGTTGCCTCAAAGAGAAACTCAGATCCGTTTATGAAGTCCATCTGAAAAAGAAATCATTCAGCAGATTCAACATATAGTACAAGCATAAGCCCTATCTAGACTATCATATTTTATTTGACAAAAACATGCGACATGCCAATATAATCATGATTACTTCACATCATGACCATAATGGCACATCAGGATTATATATGGGCATCTTTTTGTCAAAAAACTTGATAATCTGGAAAGTGAGAGAGCAGCTAGCTCAGTTGGCTAATCTGGTGGTAGCCACTGTGTGTGCACTGAACCGTGGAGATCTCTAGGTCTCCTGTTTAATTTCCATCGCTGCCTCTCCTTGTGTTTCAGCTGGAGGGCCGAAATACAAGTTACAATTGCGCATCGTCTTTCGGATTAGACGTTTAAGCCGTTAGTCCCGTGTGCATTTAAGGCCCATGTGCACGTTAAAAAATGCAGTACCCTCTTCGGAAAAGAGTAGTGGATTGTCACCCGGTATACTGCACAATCACCACCAAAAGGACCCCACTGAAAGTAAGTCTTCTTCTAGACTTTCGTGGGCTATCCTTGGTGTTTACACCGAATAAGTGCCAGATCAACACCAGTTCTTTATTCACCTACTTTAGAAGGAACGAAACTAGACATTATATAAAAATATTATAAGCTTTACTACAAATCAAAGAGACAACAGGCACAGTAACAGAATGCTGTTTGGCTTATGACGGAAAGTGTTATGATGCTTCACTGTCCTGAGGCTGTCTCTTATACACATCTAGATGTCTGCCTTCAAGAGATATACTTTAACATATCTGTCATGGTTAACGTGTATTCGGGAATCTAAGAAGCAATATTTTTCAGTGGGTATGGCCACCGAAAATAAATTCCACGCCCCCTCATATTCCAAAAATATGTCGCACTTGCAACAATACCGAGCCTGACATGTTTCCGTGGTAAAACAAGGTATCTGTAATTATCGCTAATAACTTTGCAATAAACAAATGGTTGTAATTAAAATTTTACATATACATATTACATATAGTGAAAATTTCAAGTTATGTTGTTTTGTCATGGAACGGCCGACCTAAAAAAAAACCAGCAGTTTATTTAAGGCAATAAAAGTATTTACGGGTCCTGGGATAAAAATATATTTTTGCAAAAAACTGACCCTACAGTACATTGTTCAGATTTTGGTCATTAAATTGTTGGCTACACAAATTATTCTTCGAGATTAACCTAAATATACAGTAACTACTGTGACGCTATTTGGAAACAATGATACTTTGGATCAAATATCCACTAAATTATATTTTCTAAAGTTAGATGAAAAGAAACTTCAAATTGAATACTATTGATGCTGGCACCTTCAACTAGTGGCCTTGCTATTGTTAGCTTGCAAAATAACTCAACTATTGCTCTAAAACCTTTATATACACCTAGACCATAATACAGTAGTAAAGGGTAAATCTCTATAATAATATTTCTCTACCTCATCTACCCATCAATTCAATTAAAATGCACTGGTTAAACTCATAAAATAGAGGATTTCAACAGTACGGCCAATTAAACGGGATACAAATATGCACGTCAACTCTCCCGGGACACTCTTTATCGAAGAACCAAGCTTCGAAATTCTTCAAAGTTCTTCTAATATAAAAAAAAGAACCGAGTATGTTCTATTTGTAATTTAAATTCTTTTTAGATAGAATAGATTACCAGACATGAAAGAATTGAGTGAACAGACTTTGAGATTCGTTTGATTAGGCACTAGCGTGAGGGATGGCAGGTTCAGGGCCCAGTGGCGTAACGAGGGGGTTGGGGCACTGTGGCTTTCTGAGAGTGGGGGCCTTTTGGGTCCCAGTCGCCAATTCCAATGAGGGATTTTAGATATGCTCGTTTTTTTAAAATCATGTTTGTAATTGCATTCTAAATGTTTTCAACGACAAAACAAATGATATGAAAGAGAATACGTATTGAATGACTTGAAGAGTGAATATACCAATTCACAAGTATAGTGTTGAATATTTCGTCATATCAACGACACATCAGCAACTGAGACAGGAATTAAGCAGGCCAGGTCTTATATATTGTGCTAACACTATTCTTGTGGATTGGTATATTCACTCTTTAGGTCATTTAATACGTATTCTCTTTTATAATGAGAGTGAAAAATCAAGCGATATTCATTCAACTTATGACAAATGATATGATATGAGTGACGAATTCAGGAATGTTTAATAGGGAAAGACTTATGATTACAGCACCTTTAAATGGCTGGAAAAGGCACTCACAGACGTAAAATTTAAAAATTTAGGGGCCCCCTTTAATTCACCACTGGATATAATATGATATACAGTCGATGTCATACACATTACACTGTTGCAGTGTTTTGTATTTACAAAGCCCTTTTGGGTCAGGGTGCTAGAACGAGGACCACATGTGTGATTAGGGGCCAGGGGCCTTGCGGACCGCGACACGAGAGCCCTGTCAGGGCCCTGGGACTAAAAACTCATGTTAAAGAAAAATCAAAGGAAATAATTAAAAACGTAATGTGGAAAAAATCCTTTATTTCAATGTTATTCACAAAATTGCCTTTTTCAGATTCAGTGGTGTAACGCCTGTGAGGTCTCCAGGATGAAATCCTGGGTGATCAACCAAGGGCTCCTCTTACTCTACTCAGTGCAGTTATACAGAGACCAGTCTTTTCATCCATGAAAGGCAGGAAGTTTACCCACCCCTCGACATTTCTTTACCACCGGGCCCGATACGACACTGTTTAGATTATTTACAAGATGACAACAGCAATTAAAACTGTCTTGACAAACAGGTGAATGGTGAATGTTTACTCTTGGAATTATGTCTGTAATTGTTTCGAGCAGGGTTCGGTAACGAGGGGGGCCTAGGCTAATTTTTCTGTCTTGTGTTTCATTTGAGAATCCCCATGTGACCTGTATTCAGTCAATTAAATTAATAAAATGAGTTTTATATTCAAACTTCTGTGACAAAATTACATGACATAGAAAATGATGTGGTTCTTTAAACTATAATTGAAAACTAACAGCTAGGGAGTAATTATCTAATCAAAATTATGAAGATAAAAAAACTCAGAATTGCGCATTTGGTTAAATGCATCATGGTTAACTTTCAACAATATTTATGTCCGCATTTTCTGTATCACAGAACAGAACATGCACTTGCCAAATTCCATAAGCAATAGATGAATAAATAAAATGTATCAGATATCTAAGTATTTGCTATTGTATTTTTGATTGGATAGCAGAATTAAATACTTGTTTTACAAAACCAAAACTATTATCCTCAAATTTGTTGGATAAATAATAAGTGGATAAATGCATCCTAAATATTTTTGCATTAAGTTTCAAGACTTACAATTCACTTCTTAAAAGCAGCTTAGCTCAGTCGGCTAATCTGGTGGTAGCCACTGTGTGTGCGCTGAACCATGGAGATCTCTAGGTCCCCGGTTCAATTCCCATCGCTGCCTTTCCTTGTGTTTCAGATAGAGCGCTGAAATACAAGTTAAAATAGCGCACTGTCTTTAGGATGAGACGTTTAAGCCGTTGGTCCCGTGTGCATTATGGCCCATGTGCATGTTAAAGAATGCAGTACACCCATCGGAAAAGAGTAGGGGATTGTCTCCTGGTGTACTGCCCAATCACCACCAGAAGGACCTCACTGGAAATAAGTCTTCTTCTAGACTTTCGTGGGCTATCCTTGGTGTTTACACTAAATAAATTCAATCAAATTCAATCAATTCTCCAGCTGGCTATGTCTACAAAATTAAGAGTAAAAGTTTATCTATGTGGCACTGCTTAAGAGATATGAAAGGGTCTTATATACTGGGTTCTGGTTTCACTTTTTGGTTTATTATGTTTTTACCTTCATAGCTGGAACTTCACATTACTTGTAAATCCCATTTTCTTAAGTGTACAGTTAAAATTAGCTACCATTTGCTACAAAACTATTTGTTTCTGTTAAATCATTGGTCAACGATAATGAAATACAGGACCTTTGTGTCAATTGGGTGTTGTTAAATTCACATAGTGCCAGATCAACACCAGTTCTTTATTCACCTACTTTAGAAGGAACGAAACTAGACATTATATAAAAATATTATAAGCTTTACTACAAATCAAAGAGACAACAGGCACAGTAACAGAATGCTGTTTGGCTTATGACGGAAAGTGTTATGATGCTTCACTGTCCTGAGGCCATCTTAATAATGGCGTGTAAAAGACAGTTAAGTAGAGCACGCACTTTGTTGTACAATGGACGTACGATGAGCCTAACTCTGTTCCTTGTGAGCAGTAGATGATGTAACACCGTCTGCTAATTGTTGAGGAAAGTATGAACGGATCGTCATTTAAAACCGACCATTGCACGCATGTCATTGCATTGCAATTTTTGATAGAATCATGTCAGCGGACGATGCACGACTATAGACCCTACATAGAACCAGTTACCATTAGCAAACAACTTCCAATTACCTTTAACTTGTCTATCAGTGATTGGTCTTCTGGAACATCTTCGCTAATTGCGACAAGCACGCCAGTGTAGCCACCGTCTTTAAGTGCTATTTTGTTGGGAAAGGAAGTGTGGACAACTGTAAACACGGATAACAGAAGAACAAAACAGGCCTGGCCAACCATTAGACCGGACATCATTGACATCAATTTCAGCTTATGCAGGTAACTGAACAAACAGTTCTAAAAATAAAAAGAAATGTTGGTAAATTTCGATGAAATAATTTGGAATATGATACTGATTAAATAGTCTCTTTTACAGTCATATTAGTATTAATAAGTACTGTAAGTAATATTAATGAAAATGTGGTGTCAAAATGACAAGATCACAAATTTCAAAAATCATTAATTTCAATTAAAATGGCCTCTAAATATGTGCACATCTTCAAGTCTGGAATATTCAAATCTCGTGAACACAATTAAAAGGTCTGATTTGCTTAATATAAACAATAGACATTCCATTCCAAGAAAGTCTGTTGACTTGAATAATGTACATATATATATATACATATATATATATACACACATACACATACATATATATATATATATATATATATATAAGTTGTTACTGTATGTCTTGACTATATATATATCAACTATATATATGTCGACTAGGTAATAAAGTAGAAAATACAGGGTTCGTACGTTTTTAAACAAGCAAATTTCCAGGACAATTCCAGGACATTCAAGTTCTAATTTTCCTACTTTCAAGGACACAATATATAGCTTACAGTAAAATATCAGCAATTTTACAACTGATTATAAAACATATATGCCTGTCTCTTATACACATCTAGATGTGTATAAGAGATATATATATATATATATACATATATAATACACACACACATATGTATACACACACATATATATGTTATAAAAACGACATCAGCAGTAGCCCTATGAGATCAAGGTTATTGTTGCCAGGGAACGGATTTTCATATAGAATCGTTTTGATACTGTCACAAATACCATGATTAAAGCAGTCAACGTTTTTAATGGAGCGTTTGAAGTTGCTACGATAAGTTTCATTAAATATATATTTGCATAGAGAAAAGTCTGATCGATTTGCAAACCAATTTTAATCCTATCAACAAGTGTATTCTTTGAAAAAGATACATCTTTTTCCTGGTCGTTGGTGAACATAAAAAGATCTCGCCTTGGATGTATTATTCATAATTTGGCGTACAAGGTCCAGTTAGCGCGTAATTAGAATATCATTTATTTTTTAAACGTTTAAGGCATGTAACAGAGGTGTAGTTTTACAGTATTTGTGAAGACCAAATATTTCTTTAATAAGCTTATTCTGTGTAGTTTCTAATTTGTTAAAAATTTGTATTGGCATTAATACACTGACAGCCATAGATTAGAATAGGGACCAACATGCTGTTCCATACGTGTGTTTTAAGGCATGTAGAATTACCACCTTTGCATGCCTATACATTGCAGGGAGTAAAAATGCTCTTTGGCACTTACGGATTCTCTCATCAACATGTTTATGTGATCTACTTTAAGATCGTTTGATAAAATAACACCCAGATAATTTACGGAGTCAGTAACATCAAGTTTACAACCATTTAGGAACCAAGAGGGTTCAGTCATAAATGTATTATTACCGAAGACAGTACATGTAGTTTTACTCGGATTGAATCGTAATCCATGATATGAGATATACGCATTAGCAAAATCAATTAAATTTTGGAGCCCAGTGGTCGTTAGGCTAGCAAGCAAAATATCATCAACATAACAAAATGCGTTGAAGGCAGAGTGGGCAATAACTATACCGCAGTTTAGAGAACTTAGTCCTTGAATAAGATCTTTATAAAATAGATTAAATATGAATGGAGATGACAAACCCCCTGTCTTGTGCCTTTACGGATAGCAATTTTTCTACTTAGGGAACCACCCCACTTCACCATCACCATCACCGTCAAATTTGTGTACCAAGATAGTAAGCATCTCCACCATGGATCATCAATGTTGTCACCTAATTTTTCAAAAATGACATCATGTGGGATTGCATCAAACGCGCCCTCTACCATTTATAAAACCAAATTGTAAAGGGTCAAATTCAAAATTACCATAGGATTCAAGAAAACCCAACTCGAAAGTTTTTGAAATGGTACTAGAAACAAATGGTCTGTAGTTTTATTAATAATAATAATAAATGAATAATAATTATTGAAATGAAAACTAAAAATCATGAAGATGGAGCAGTAAAAGAGTCAGGGTTTGTATGTTTTTAAACAAGCAAATTCCCAGGACAATCCCAGGACATTCAAGGTCAAATTTTCCAACTTTCAAGGACACAATATATGCAGTAGATTAACAGTAAAATATCGGCGATTTTACGACTGATTATAAAACATATATGCTGTACTACTTTTAAATGCATTTTAGTTGAGTGTATATTAAGTTTTAGCAAAACTTTAGTTCAGAGGCGATGGACCTGTCTCTTTTTCTCACGCTCATGGGAAATTAAGTTTTTCTCACACGTGTAAAATTTGATGGTAAGCAAAGAATTCCCACGAGTATGGGGAAGTAACGGTAAAGTAAGGTAGGGATGATCGCCTACAGTGAAGTAAAATTCTCCCCTGCCAACATAAATGTGCGCGTACAACAATGGTCTTATCTTTGCTTAAACGTGACAGTGTCTTTTGTTGTACCGGTGCGCCCAAATAACTCGGTTCCTTTGTAGCGCAGCGGGGTGGGTTACCACCTGTCCAGGGTTGTTGACATGTATATACAGTAAAACAATATAGCCTTTGATGGCTGTACGTTGCGGAGACGTTAATGCATCTCATTTGATATATATTTACGTGTTTATAAATGTTGTATAAACGAATGATGTACAATATTATTAATTAATTTAACATTTATGCTCTATTCTCAACGCATCATTATACTATTACTGTATTATTTATTATTTTTCATTACTATTGGGCCTAACATTATTATTAATATTTAAGTCTATTATTATTAGGCCTTAGTTGTAGGCCTACAGCTTTTATAATCTACTCTACAGCAAAATGTTAACGTACGGCACCATCCTACCGGCACTGATCTGCTGCCGACCAGCAAATTGTTTTTCAATGATTTTGTAAACTTCAGAAACATAATTAACGAAATATCTTGCCCTAAACTCAAGAACTTCTAACAATAAATGCCCTTTAAACACCACCCACTAAGAAAATAACTGTAGAAGTACACGTTCGCATGGTTACTTTAATTGTTAATTAACTGCTTTGCGTTGGATAAGGCCAAAACATGCCCATTCGTGTTGAACAAGTGTGCACGTTTGGAGAGTGATGAATTACCCAAAGCGAATTAACCGGGCTCAGCATGTGCGACAAGACCTTTTCAACTGATTGAAAATTTAATATTTCAGTACAACCGACAGAAAACTAATTACAACATAGCAGATGTCAAAAAAATTAACGATTATGATTATCAATGTCTGAATTAAATTAAATGCAAACATAATTAATATACAAGGTTTAAAAAAAGCACCATCTTTACTAAAACATAGGTGAACAACTCCATTCACTGAATCGCACAAGTTTGTCTGAACAAGGCAATTCAATAGAAAGACGCACACCTCGGGACATCAAAAATTATAACTCTGGCATTGACATTCTAGGCGCATGTGCGTCCCTACACGCTGAACGTCACAAAAACCATAGCAACCAGACCATAAACCGTCAGCGTACGTGACGAATTACCCACGTGCGTGTTAGTTGCCATGATATTCGCGCGTCGTGCGGTGATTACAAAGGCCTAATGATATTTTGCAATAACATTAGACTGAAATTATATTCTTCATTTCAACATTAATTTTACCAAAATTGTGGTGTATTGTCGTTCAAGAGACTCACTTCGCAGAAAAAATTAATAAATGTTCTGTATATACTCAAATG